TGTAGATGGCACTTGGACGTGGGGATATGTGAAGGAAGATGAAGAAAATGTAATTCCTCTTTATGTTCCCGACGACATATCTTTCTTGGAGCTTGAAGATGTTGTCATGAATCTTATAAAGTTCAATAGCACTTCCCATGTAATGGAAATTCTATCACTCAATCCAAGAATGAACAAATTTCTAGTTCCCCCGGTGAAGATCGATTGTGATGTGAATGTGAAATGGTATCTATCCGTTTGTGACGAACATCCTCTTTGCGTACGACTTGTTGCAAAACCTATTGAGGAAGAAAGGAACAATCAGAATTGTGAGGTCATTGAAACACTTACGTGGGATAAAGAAACTCACGAGGGACTGGAAGGTCATTGAGATAGTTTGATTGATATTGGAGATAGTCCGACTGAAAATCTTGTTGAGGGAGAAACCAACAATCACAATTCCGATTTTATTGAAACACTGACGTGGGATAGCCAAATTCACGATCGGGTGGAAGGCCAATGGGACCGTATGTTGGAGATTCGAGATAGTCCGATCCAAGAAAATGTTGAAGTTGAAGTGGAAGATCAAAGAGGAACTGTTGTGTTGACAGAAGATGCTCGTCAGAATTTTTCAACCGAAAATTATGGTGTCCTTGCAAATGCAAGTCATTCTATGAGTCCGCGCCACTGTCCATCTTCGGTGCGAATTCCGGAAAGTGAAGATTTTGAATATAACAATATCTTCCCAACCAAAAAAAGATTTAGTAGATAAACTCTTGGGATTGGCTGTGAGGTTTCAGTTTGAATTTAGAGTGATAAAATCAACAAAGACTTTGTACGTTGTTGCTTGTATTGAGAGTAATTGTCCTTGGCGTTTGAGAGTCGTGAAGATAAAAAATGGTGAGATTTTTGAAGTGCGTAAGTATGTTGGAGATCACACTTGCTCTATGAGTGTGCGTACGAAAGATCACAAGCATGCAACGTACAAGCTTATTGGGAAGTACATTTCCGGAAAGTACAAAGACTCCAATTGGATTTATAAGCCGAAGGACATTATTTTTTATGTGAAAGAGAAGTTCGGGATAAGTATCAGCTACACGAAAGCATTTATGGCGAAGCATTACGGATGTAGTCTGATTCGAGGTTGTCCAGAAGGAAGTTACACAAAGCTCCCACAATATTGTTACATTTTGGAGCAAAAAAACACGGGGACGGTCACCTTCATTGAAACAAGTGTCGAAGGTCATTTCAAGTACTTTTTCATGGCTTTAGGGCCGTGCATTCGTGGATTCCGCTCTTGTATCAGAAAAGTAGTATCTGTTGATGGGACATTCCTGATGGGGAGATATCGTGGTACTTTGCTCATTGCAACATGTCAGGATGCAAACGGTCAAATTTATCCACTCGCTTGGGCAATAGTAGACTCCGAGAACATGCTTTCTTGGACGTTCTTCTTTGAAAAGTTGAAAGACATAACAGGTGATTGCCCTGATCTTGTTATAGTTTCGGATAGGGGAACAAGTATTCCGGGTGCTTTTGAAAAAGTGTTTGAACATGCACATCATGGACATTGTAACTACCACTTGTTGAGAAACATAAAATCCGAGTTTCCAAGGTTGGAATTGGATGCATTGTTTTGG